GTTTTCTCTCTTGCGACACGGAAAAGTACTTCCGCGAATGCGAATGCAGTAAATGTAAAAGACGTTTAAAATATTTGGTCTGTTAATTTAGTAATATATACATTATATAATGTTTTTGTCGTGAAAAATATCTAGGATATTTTTGGTCGATAGTTTATCCATCGACTGGAACTTACTGAATTGATGATGCAGGTACATTGTCCGATGACATAACGTAACATATTATCAAAAACATCCGTTATAGCTTTAACAGAGTAATAATCGAAGATAGCGGTTTTCGAACCTGCATCTGCTACTCGTGTCTGCAAATTCTCGAGTCAGAATTAATTTAGCAATCCGCTATATACGCTATTTACGTTCAATATATTATGGTGCAAACAACATGCACCTGTTCTTCGATTTAAAAAAATTCACGTAGCATGAAATTACGTAATAATTATATCATAATCAGGAAAGTAAATTTAAAAAAAATCAATTATAAAATATCATACTTAGGGAAGTAAGTGTAACTTTAAAAGTAAATTAAAGTAAATTAAAAAAGAGATTGTAATGTGCATTTTATACCGCTATAATTAAATAACGACGGCAATTACAGTATACACATAACGGAACCAATTTTATTGAACGTACTCCAACAAAATGTAATCATTATATAATTTTTTACAAATAAACATGTAATTTTACGCTACTTGAAAACACGAATTGCAACTGCAAACGCAGCGTATTACGTTAATTTTTAAACGCAAATATTATTAAAAATTACATTAATACAGACGATTCATTGTGCAGATTATTCAAGAGAGATTAATTTACTTTTCCATATACATGTTTCATATTATTTACATATATTTGTCCCTTGATATTTTTTTCTGAATAATTTAATCTTCATCAGTGCGATGTAAAGTGCTTACACGTTTTGCATTCGTCTCTTAAGTGAGTGGTCTGTGTGTAAAGATCGATTTTATCTTATTGTTGATCCGCCCGATCGATTGCGGGCACGCCTGTTCGGCAATTCGACAGCGACCTAAGCGGCGATATGCGGTTTCACGACACTCGCACTCTCCGCGTTTGATGCCATCTGACTGTAATTCCTGTCGAGCATTATCCGCGCTCCCGGAGCGTCCGGTATTTCTGCGGTGCGTCTGCGTGTACACACGCGTCGCTCTAGAACGCGCCATGCGTGCGTGTGGATTCGCGTGCGCGCGCGCGCAATATCCACCTGGCACCGCAACACACAATCGGTATGCGTGTGTATTACGTGCGCCTGTATGCATACATCGATACATACCCGGTATACCTATGTATACGCGAAATACCGCATGCAGAATATTTACCGGGACCCACCTCAGATGTTTGGACCTGTCAGGGCGACGCGCGTATCGCGAGACCTGCACAATGGCCAACTCGAATTAATCCTCCGGGGAGGAGCGAAGCGTGACGGGTTTCTCTCATATTCGTCACTTCGTCAGTGACAGAGATCGCGGTTGATATACTTGATGGGAACGAGCGCTTACTCCGTTTCGTTTATTCGTGCTATTGCCGCGCTTAAAGGAAACATACGCTTTTGATTCCACCTTTTGTGTTGCGCATTATCCGGAGATATTACAATTTGTGTCTGATGATGAGCTTTTCCGGCAGTCCCTTTTAATTACGAGTTTAATTAAAGGCCACGATTCCTCGTTATTTGTTCATTGTAATAACGAGATACGTATAATAATAAGATAGAAGAGATAAAAAAGCACCACACACATCTGATAGGAATATAAAGAGTTAAGATATTTTCTGAAGCAATGCTTTTTAAAAGGAAGATTACTATTTAAATTTAAATTTTAACAATATGTTTTAATAGTAATTACTCAATTATATTGTTCTGAAATTTATTAGAGAAACTGCAATAACATTCTCTTGCAGCTAATTGCCACGAAATTGCCATTTCACGCTGATGAGAGCTGAATAGTCTAAAGACAATCTATATAGAGTCATTAATTAACGAATGCAAAGTACAAGATAAAACGTTCGTATATTCGTAGCTTTTCAAACATCATCATTTTTATACGTTAATGAATAATTCTCAACTATCCGTAATAAAATAACAGCCGTCATCAGTAAATAATTCTGATGTCAATAAATTTTGCAAAAACAATCCCAATATTTCGTAATTAGGAATAATAATCGACATTCAATCGCTGCATTTTAATAACGAGCATCCGACTACGCGAGTAATGAATAATAATAAATAATAATTGATAATTAAATTCTACGTATTAATATCTCGTAACACGTCCCGAGTAATAACCGCGATAATATATCCGTAGCTCGTGTCGATCGCAATATCTCGCAGCCCTCGGTTATCCCTTAGGTTGCCGCCCGCGTGGATATTGCGCGTTTTGCTATTTTATTATTTCAGTATTTTTACCCCGCGACGGAAACGCATTTATATCGCAGCGGTAGTTTCGCTCTCGGGGTTACCTGGCGGAAACGTACACCTTTCCTATCGCACGCACCGCGGGGGGTTTCGATCCCCGGCTCTCTCACGCAGGTTACCCCGCGATCGATGCCCTCCGAGAGAGGGAAAACGTCAAATTCACGGCGCGGCATGACTCAGCCGGACGACTCATGCATAATTTATCCGGGCTTAATTAGTTAAAGGCCAGATAAAGAGAGAGAGAGAAGGGGGCGGGAGGAGAGATAGAGAGGAAGAGAGAGAGAAAAAGAAAGAATCGGAAAAATGCTTTCCGCAAATACGCGCCTCGTCACCGTTAAGTAGATTCCATTTAAATTTGTAAATGATTTAGTCTCTCTCCGCTCATTATGCAGATTACGCGCGTTAACGGAGTTCTCTGTCTTCCCCGATTTCTCTTCGTTCGATCGGAATGAATGCATAACGACCGGGAGTGATTTTAACAAGGAAACTCTCGCAGCTGTCTCTCTTTGAGTTCGCGGAGCTCCAGGTGTGTCGTGGAGTAGCTCGCGACGAGAAACGCAAGCACTTTCTTCTTCGCGTACTATAATACGAACTCAGAGGTTGTGGAACTAAGGACGAAACTATATAATTGAGACGGAAGCTTTTCACGTTAAAAGCGCTTTGTAATATTGTGCGTTTAGATTTTTTTAAGTCAATTTAAATTGTAAGAAAACCTTTTAATGTTTCGAAACTATTCGGGTTTAATTTATATATATATATTCATATGAATGAAAAATTTCGAGTTAATTTTAGGAAAAGAGCCGTTTTAGTTACAAGGGCAATCTAAAAATCGTATATATTTCTCATTACGTTTAAGAAAAACAATTAAAAGAGAAACAGTTTTATAAGATTATGTACCACTTTAAGATACCTACTTCTGAAAGTTGTATTCGCGGCGGCAAGAGTTTTCGACGAGTACAATGGAGAATCACGCCTGCATTTATATATTCGCTGCAGAACTTTACGAGAGGCGTTTTCCTAAGGTCCTCGAGCGCGCACGCGGCCCAAAACTTCCAAAAGAGGTCCGTTAACCGTTGATGAAAATCTGTCTTACATTCGCCTCGCGCGTGTCTCTAGCCGTGCTTAAAGCCGAGTTGCTTTTGATCTTAGACGCGCTTACGTTTCTCGGAGAACGACACGACGGGCTCGTATATGTATACCAGCCGCGTCGTGCATTCGGTCGATCTTGTGCGCAGAATTGTGGCAGGTATATATACAGCGTTTGATGTACGGCGCGATGTAAATTTCTAAATAGAGATCGATATCAGCCCCGCTCGTGTGGCACAGACCGTTTTTATAGCGTTCACTCGCGAGAGCCAAAGACGCTAGCGCAACTTCGATTTTTAGAGACGTTCCATTCCGCGAATGTGTACCAGTTCTCTCGCGTAACAGCTGTAACGTATACGTAATTCGGCTGGATATTTTTTATTTGCGGACGCCAACGGATCCGACCGCGCCGCGATAAGTCACACATGTGCGTCGCCACCAATTGCATAAAGGTGCAATGAGCATAGAATAAATGTGTTTGACAGTGTGTAAAAATTATACGAAGCAACCCAGGTAAAAATAAAAAAAAAATATGTATGTCGAAGAAGCTAGTTGCGCGAAATTGGGTCCGCCGTAAATCCGATAAGGGACATTGTCTCGCCGCAAAGGCATTTTTATATTTCATTGTACGCTGTACGTAGAAGAAGAAATAATAACACTCGCGGCATATATCATTCACGCATATCGCCTTCGTATCAGTTCGATTGTCAAGCTTTGTTAAACCGGAGCTGTATCGTTCCCATGATCGCTGATTTATTTGCCGATCGCGTTTCTTGGTATTAGGATCAGTTACCGCGCGCATGATCACGCGCTATGGCTCGTGTCGAGTTTCATATAGTTGTATATAGCCGGATGATTCATTACCGTGCCGATGAGAAAATGAAGGTGAGCGGCGCGCGAACGCGAGAGATATTCAAGTAGATCTTAAATCATGCAGGTTCGTTTTCGAGCGTCGCCTTTTTTCTCCGGAGAAAACGAGCTTCCCGAGCTTTTCTCTTTGACTAGATTCCAATTGGACGGTACGGTTTCAAGTGTCTTCAGAATTAACGTATATAAAACGTTAACATCCTTAATGATGGGAATATGTTTCCAAATATTAATTATTAAGTTTAATTTAATACTTATTAATAACGCTAATTGTGTAAGAGATAGGCTTAAAAAAAGAAAGTCAACACGGTAGAAACTGTACGCCAAGAATAAAAGTTAATATAATATATAATAAAGAAAATAGATTACTTTTATAAGTATACAAATAGTAATCCTAATAAGTAGACACACACACATAACACAATTTGTTTTAATCGCATTTTTCCATGATTCCTCTATTGTCGTTCGTATTGAAAAGGATCGCTTGAGCGGTAGTTTACTCGAAGGCGACATTCCAAATAATTTTAATTTTTTTTTCAACATCCTAAAATAATGTGCCGAAAGAGATTGTCAGGCAGGTGTGGAACGACGAGTCGCTCATCGCGCAACTTTCTATTTGCAGCTTCGACGAGACGTCGATGGACAGCTGCATATTGGCTACCATCGACGAGAGCCGCCGAGTCAGTGACTTGTCGGGCGAGTCGATGAAGGACAGTAACGAGGTGGAAGTGACGTCATTGGAGGAAGCCAAGTCGGTCATAGCGGCACTCAGAGCGAGACAGCGGGCACAAGCCCACCAAATGCTCGCCTGGCGGAGGACCCTTAAATTGCAGGTAAGTTTCAATTACCGGGAAGGATTTCTACATGCAAAGGCAATCCCACTTCGCCGTTACGTCTTCGATAAGGAAATCAGTCGGGAGAACGGCGGAGAACGATCGATCAAAGCTATTACCTCTGAAAACCATAAAACACGCACGGCCCACGAACCGATGTTACCAGACAGTGAAATATTAGATACACGGTGATCTTCATTTAGACGCGAACGGGTACATATTTTTGCCGCTTTGCCAAGCGGACGAGTAAACGTTCTAAATAAACGTTATACTCGCGCCTCTACATCGCCAGACCATGTATGTACAATTGTACACTGTATTTTAATTGGGATATCCATTAAATTAAAATCGGGCGTGCGAATCGATTGAAAAAAGAATAGAGTTTCATCAAATAGCTCGTTAATCGAAAGCTGAATCGAAGCTCAGCTTTGTCAGAAACGTCTTTTATTTTTCGTACATGATCTCCACGATTAAACCTTTCTGAAGGGTATTATTGTTGAAGGTCTAAATTCTAAACACTTTTCATCCGGTCGAGATATTCTTTGGCCTTAAGCACTTTATACCCGTTAGATTCGTCATGATGCTAATGGGAGAGACAAATTCTAGCGGGTGAGCGAAACGGCATTGCTGCCACGAGTCATTGCCGTGCATTTCCGGGATAAGCCGGGGGCGTCTCGTGACATCCTACAATTACGCGTCTGACTTCGCGTGACTACGAACGATTCTCAGTTTGCGAGGTAGATGCGAGAAAAAAAGGGCTCTCCCACTAAATTCGCCGGCAATCTGCGGGGGGATAATTGCTGCGAAATGACCTTTTTCTCTGGCTATTCGACCAGCGCCGGGGAAAATACCGGCGGGATGGCCGATTGCGAGTAACAACTTTTCCGTATATACTTTTGTCGAATTCAAACAGGAAATATTAACCCAAAAATACACACCTTCCGGCACATCCCGAAAACACACCATAGGTCTGGGAGACCCATGTAACTTTGAAAGGCTGGTAATTCTGGTTCAGATTGATATTTTCGGACTTGTTTTTTTTTTTTTTTTTTCTTTTTTTTTTTAGCTGTAATATTTACGAATACGTCTGAATAGGTTTTAATACCGAAAAGTTTTATTTTTTATTTTATTCCACTTTGGCAAGTTATGAAGTTAAAATTAAATTAGTAAATGTCGAAAATAGAAAAATTGAGAAAAATTCAATTTTCATTTTTTATTTAATTAGTTGGCTAAAATCTATCAGACAACCAAAAAGAGATATCGAGAATATTTTTTTTATATTTTTTTATCCAAAAAGAAATGCCTTCCTACACTTTCCTTTCCTTAATATAGAATTTGTCCCTTGAAGCGTTAACCGGTCGTTCACATCGTGACTCGCGTCTATCGGCAAAACGTTTTAATTATTTTCCGTGTCCGTCCTCGAAGTGCGTGACACGCAACGGCGACAGCACCTGGCCGTCTTGCGGTTTATGTTGTACACAATAGCGAGAGTAATGGACTCATCCTCTACGCGGGAGGCAGGAAGGAAGAGACGTGAGCAATGCTCATGCAAAGCGGTCAGCCGGATACGTACGGCATGTATAACGTGCACCGTTGTGCAAACACGCAGTTACACGCATGTATCGACGCGTGCAGAGGCGGAACGCAAGTACCTCACCGCTCGCATATATATCGGTAACGCGTTCCGCGTAACGCAAGTAGACTCGAGAGATGCAAATAATAATGAGATTTGCTCAAATACGCATGAACCGATGTCCGATTAAAAAAGAACAAAAGAATACAATCTAACACCGCACCGTCCTGGTGAGCGACGCCCCATTCGAACGGTGTATTTCGGTCGGGATGGAAAACCGGGGAAATTAATTAGCGGCGCTAAGCAAATATTAATAATAACGGCAGCGAGAGAGATCGCTTGCTAATTAATTAATATCCGAAGTAATACGCCGCCGTTCCGCGCCGGTCGCCCAGTTTATTGCATGCGCGAATTAATATGGGAAATTGACGCGACCGACCGTTCAATGTCACCGTGACGTTTCGCAGGAGGACCTGGTGGCCCGACTGACGCGTGAGAAGGCCGAGCAGCTGCGGACGTTGTCGTCGCAGCTTCTGCTGTTCGAGTCTAGGCTCTGCAGGAAGCAGAAGGAGATAGAGGCCAGTCTGAGTCAGCGAGAATCCATTATTCTACGACAACAAAGGGTGATCCGGCAGTTGCAGAACAGATTGGCGGAGAGGAGCACGAGCACCAGGGATTCGCCGCCCTGCGACGCCCTGGACAGACTGGACAGTCTCGGGGACAGCGACAGCGCTGTGGTGCTCGAGGAAACCGCGGACGATCCTGCCCCACCGAGGTGAGCATTTCTGAAATAGATTCACATTACCTGTCGCCGACGACACGAATAGAGCTTCTATGAAGCACCTATGCAAAGATAGAGAGGCGTGAGAATTAAGAACGAAATGCAAGTAAAGACAAAAGTGCAAAATAGGACTAAAAATGCTGAAAAATATAATTTTAATCTCTTTCAAAAAAATCTAAGTTTCCAATAAGCAATTGTGATCAGTATAATTTGCTTATATTTTGGAATGCATATAATGTTAAAAATAATAATTTATGCCAGCGTGCTACCTTATTAGAATATATTCAAAATTGCTGTGATGAAGTTGCAACGTATTTTAAGACTGCTTTAATCTATATATTGTTATTCATAGCAGAGATCGGATTAAAATAAAATTACAAAATTCTATTTGTAATTTTACATGTAACACAAAAAAGTTTAAAGAGAATTAAAATACACATTCACATAAAATACATATCGAGATGTTGATAAATTGATTTGTATATTAGAAAACACATAAAGTTATAAATAAGATCTTGTTCTCCCAAATTTTTTCACAAATTATAGGTCGTCTACGGTCGAGTCTGTACATTCTAATTCTACTCCACAGGTTTCGTTCTAATATTACTGACATAACTGTGATCCGTTCTGTGTCCGACGCGGTGGAACCGTCGAACAAGTATTCGTCGATGCGTCGGTGCAACGGTTTCCTCAGAAGACCGGAGATTCTGGAAACCGTATATTCCGTGGAGGAAGACGGTGACAGCGAGAATAATCAGGATCCATCGGAGTCGACGGAGAACTCGGAGTACGAAGACAGGAGAACGAAAAACTTGGGCAACGGGAAAGGCAGGCTTCAGGATCTCTACGGTAGTTTCGAGAGGCTGGCTCAAGACACGGATTCCCCGCCCAGCGAAAGACCCAGAGACGAAAGCCAGCAGGCGCAGGTAAAAGGAGGCGAAATCTCGAAATCTTATTGGCGTGTAAGAAAATTCGATTTGCTAGGAAATATTTGTGAAATGAAGAAACATAACGCAAAATTTACTTCAACTTAGAAAACGCAATGCAAATTTGCACTTTGATTTAAGATATACTCCGTATTTGAATTTTTCTTGCGTTTAGCTGTAAAGTCCATGCTAACGTACGTATAAATTGATTTTTCCCTAAGGAATCCTATTTGTGCTTTCAGGTGACGTACAATAGGGTAATGAGCAATCACAGATCCGTGACGAAGCCAAAAGATGTGAAGTACAAGAGGATAAATAAGGCAAAATCGAAAAGTCTCGAAGAACTCAGAGGACGTCTTAGAAATTGGGTCGAGAAAGGGAATAAAATAGCTATATCGTTGGATCAGTCATATGCTTGAGCTTACTACCCCCCCGTATATGAAAGTATATAAATTATTATTTAATGAATGATTATAATGACCGTTGTTAAACGTGTAACGCCCTAAATTATAATTCTACTTGTAAGATTAAGGAATGGACTTTTATCTTTAGTCACTACGGTATTTAATTGAAATATCATTGCTCCATGTGATATTTACTGTAGTATTTTTTCATATTAATTATGCACCTAGGTCAAAGATAAATGATTCGAGACTTGTGATATGATTTTATTATATACAAAAGCGCGTAGTTAGGAAGAATTTATTATCTGGCAAAGAAACAACTAATCTTTAAGTATCATGATAAAATTAACATTAAAATAATTTCTATCTGGTTTTTTCTTATAATAAATTCTATAGTATATTATTATGATTAAATATTTATCGACAGCATTCTTACATCATTTTTTTGAATCCAAAAAGTAATATAAAAGATTTAAGGCATTATCAAACACATTGATATATTAAGAACATAAAAAGTAAACAATTTACTAGAATTTGAAACAGTTAGATTTGAGATTCAATTTTGTTACGGTACTTAAAGGTTAACATAACTTGTGTGTGTGAAACGTGACATACGTCCGTGGATTGTACATGAACTTTCAAGAAAACTTTCGATTTTTTCTTTCGTTAATAGCAAATACCTAACTTATGTTGCTACGTTCTAAAAATACGTACAAGAGAAATTTCAGAAGGCCTAAATATTGAAAAATAAATTACAAATATATATAATTAAGTAAACATCTTTGAGCAACAGGAAAGCTCACTATTAACAAAAAAAATGTTAATTATGACGCACATTTTTCTGCACATACCCGATTACATCAAAACAAGGTTTTTTTTACTATTGAATGCTATTTATTATAATTACATCCTCAGTTCAGAATGATATATTTATATTACGTCACATTTTGCTACAAACAATTTAGAATTAAATTCCTCTATATTTGAAACAATTTATTTAGAAATTATTAATTATTAGAGATTTCTCCATTAAACAGGGTTGAAATGCAAACAATCAAATTTAATCGAAACTTGATTTAAGATGATTATGAAACTAGCCGTGTTTATCTTATAAATAAATATTAAACAAAGGCATGTACTCAGAATGAATTTTTAAAAGCTTTTTTTAAACTAAAAGGTTTTTTTAAAAGACTTTTTTAAAAGTCACATAAATTATATACAAATTATACATCTAAAAAGAAGACACATACTATATGTATAAATGCTCTTGTTAATCCACTTAAATAGATGTTATTATTTGTGCCTATCCTTCTATATAAACAAATATTGAGGGCATTGTATTCTGAATATATAAACTTCTATCTTGATGTTTACTTGAGGTCTTAAGAACCTGAAGAAAAATGATAATCAAAGAATGTGAAGCAAAGCATTGGTACTTTAATGAAATTTGTTCACACAAAAATTGAAATTTATAATGCTTTGCATTGATCCAAAAAGCATATATTTTAATTAGAGTTAAAACGCAATCTTAACTGTTGAGAACTCTTATACATAATTATATTGTCGTATTTTGAACTATTTTCAATAAAAGCTATTCGAAAAGATTTTAAAACCTACAATTTAAAAGCACTACAAATTTCTTGTGTCCCTATACACATTAAACCAAAATTTTATAAAATTTAGATATATTTCATTGTATATATAAAGTTGTAAAGCGATATGTACTTTTATATTAAATGTAAACTCTGACATGCCGTGACTATACACGCTGTGTATGGCAGCGTAAAGAAAACATGTTTTCGTAATCGCACTGTTTATAACAATATTTTTACACGCACGCGCATATTTTACCGTTCTTCTTATAAAATAGGAAAGTACGCTCGAAGAACATTGTTTTTGGTACAAACTGCTTGTGACGCAAGCGTAATTTCTCTCCATTTTGGATGCATTTATTCGTTCACTTCATTCATCGGACTTTCGAGCAGACGCCAGACGGGTATAAGAAAGCTATCGACAATCCGTATTTTTGCAAGATTAGAGAGAGAGAGAGAGAGAGGAAGGAACAAGCAAATGCCTCTGGCAGTACCTTTGTAAATAATTGGAAACATGGACGTAACGTTCTTAAAGATGTAGATTCTACGATACTTATATATAAATATATATCATGTAGATAGATCTATATTATATATTAAAATAATAAATTGTAATACTATTATATTTTGAATTTAATGTTCCTGTGGACTGAGCAACAGTCACCGAGAGATCTCGTGCATGATATATTTGCACGCGCTTATAAATGCATATGCATATAAAAAATATGAAGATATATAAATAAATAATTGAATAAAGTGTATATATATATATACATCTATACATATATACATACGTATATGTATATATAAATATATATTATATGCATGCATGTATATATGTCGAGAGATAGTGTAATATGATGAGTCTACTTAGAATGATGCGAAAGAATAAAGTCTTTTAGGTGCATAAGCAAACCGTGTGAAACTAAAATGAGTCACATTGGCTAACTACCATCTGAGTATACACGTGCAATGGCGCTCGAATACAAAAAAAGAGGTCAATAATTATTTTAATTTATGTAAACTCGCATAACGTGTATGCTGTATCGCTTTACTAGGAAACGAGTAGACTGCTATCGATATCCTGTGTCACGCAATTATTTTAATTATTATTAAATCCCAAATAAATTATGTCGATGGAAACACGCCGGACAGCGTATTTATTGTCATTCCTATCTCTTCCAATTGTTTCCCGTTATTTGTTGATAATTGAATGTTATATATTACGTGATTTAAATCTGAAACGTAGCAATTAAAATACTATCGAAGAGATCTGCGGTTCCTGTATCATTTATTTCATAACAATCGGCGCACTTGATAACAAATGTAATCTTTACCTAAGAAAGAGGGGACTGTAGGTATTTAATAGCGTACTTTTATTTTTTATATATATACATTGCTTATTTTTTGCAACAATGACATAACTAAAAAAAACAAAGTTTTCCAGAAAATATAAGTTTGAATATTTTAAATTATTAAAATTTTTGCAATATTACTTTTAAATGTGATTTTAATATAGTATAATAACTGATTGTAGAGGAATATAAAAGTATCTAGCTATATGTTAGCTCTTTATTTAATTATTAATTGATTAAATATATTGAATTCTCACCGTTCTTTTACAAAGAATTAAAAAGTGACAATTTTTTAGGTCCAGTTCCATAAACGTCGGTTAAATTTTAACCTTAGGTTAACTCACTCTTCGTCTTTTTCTAATGTCCATTTCTACCAATGTTAGATTAACTTTAATCTCGGTTTAACTTACTTTCTATCTTTTTCTAACTCCTAGAACTAGGAAAAGATGAAAGGCAAGTTAAACCAAGATTAAAATTAACCTGCGTTGATAGAAATGGACATAAGGAAGACATTAGAAAGAGACAAAGAATGAATTAATCTAACAATAAGATTAAAAGTTAACCGACGTTTGTGGAACTGGGCCTTAGTTACCTATGTCATTGTAACAAATAATAAGCGACATGTATACATTTCTACTTGGATATATACAAAACCAACCATAGGCACACATGTGTATATTGCTTATAAGAAAAAATAAAATATTATCGCACTATGGCGATTCAAAAATATTTTAATAAGAATGTAAAAAAAATGATATCCTTTTTGTACGTACCTGACGAGATGATCATGCGTCACTCGTTGTTTTTCTTATATTTAGGTGAGAGAATATAACGGTGTAAAGTACATACTCAAACAGGATTTCGTTCGATTCGGTCGGACAGTTTGTCGATATCAAAATCGCGATTTTTGCGTACGCAATGTTCGATACACCACGACGAATGTCTGTCGCTTTACAAGAGCCACTCGAGATAATTTCTTGCAAGATTCGTTTCTATAAACGCGGCAGTAATTGCGAACAATACGGAGCGACTTGCATCCGAGTTTGCCATGATACATTACGCGAAGAACCGCGTGATTTGTGCGAAATCTATCGAAACGCCACGTTGCGATTCTCGAAGTATCGAAATCTTCAATGTGGCGCGAATAACCCAGTTACTTGAATTAATTTTATTAAAAAAATTAAGATACACACACACACACACCCAACATATATCAATCGTATAGTAACATCTATATCCTACGTATTTATTAATAATTAGAAAATTTAATAATTAAGTTTTTAAAACTTTAAAAATAATCGAGAATTTAAAAATAAACGGGAATTGAGAAACAGGTAAGTAAAAATAGAAAGTAAGAATGTGCTTTGTAAATTATTGTAAGTTAAAACGTATGCATGTAAATATTATTCTTTCATATTAAATAATGCAAAAAACGATAAGAGAGTGTTAACGATGGTAATTAATGGCTTTTCAAATTATTGTAACGGCAGTATATTCATCTAAAAAATAATTGACGATACACATTTCCACTGTTAGAATGTTTAATTTATTTTATGATCGAAAGATAACGAACTACGAACGTTCTCAGTACAATTTTTTTAACACCATAAATTCTAGCTACACTGAGAAAAAATATTTAAATAAAAAAAAATATTTATTTAGGTGGTTGCCAATAGCTTATTTACTTAATATAATACACATGTTTATTTAGAATTAGATATTTTTATTTAATTTAAATAAAAATATCTAATTTTAAATAAATATGTATATATAATTATATATTAAGTAAATAAGCTATTGGCAGCCACCTAAATAAATATTTTTTTTTATATAAATATATTTTTTTCACAATGTATAAAAGTAATTCTTCTTCAATGACACCCGATATCTTCTCGATGGTGTGTGTAAAATCAAAATTGTATTCCTGTAGATTTCTCCAAAATTTTATATTGCCCATAATTTTATTGCCCATTTTCTTCATCTTGTACATTGTTGTTTATTTTAAGTAAAGTAAAGTAAGTAAATTAACTTTTCGAAAGAAGGAAATGCAAGAACATTTCCATAAGAAGCATACACTATAGCATATATTATAGGACATTAGCGTTGAACAAGTCCATTTCGTTATCAAGGAAGCATACAATTTTCACTAAAATGTATATATAAACAAGACGCACAATTTAGTATAATTATAGTAGATAAATGTAGTATTATAGATTATAAGAAGTCGTGACATATTACAATATATTTATTGTGGCTTTTGTAATACATGTAATATATCATATATTATGTGTCGCGAAAGATATAATTCTGCTGCAATTCTTGCATCAGGAGTACAAACTGACTTTAAACAAATGTTGATAAGTGCTGGAGATATACAACATATAGAGTAAAATCTAGTTAAAATAAAATAAAGTCATCATTACATATTAACATGTACTTAAATATGTAAATATGTAAAACGCTTATAAGACAATCCACTATATATATATATAAGCTCACCTTTAAAGTATTGTAAATTCTAACAAGGGGACAAGGTATAATCAATGATTTATAAACAAGTTACGTTTTACTTAACAAATTGAATTTTTATATTTAAAAAACAATGTAATATTGTAAGTACTGATTCGTAAATAATACGCTCTTAACTACTTGCAATAAATAAAATTATTAGATATAAATAATTAGAAACGACCAAAACCCATGGTCGAATTGTCACGACATTAGCCAAATGTTGTCGAATATAAAAATAGACTCTTTCTCGTTTATAAATAATTAGGTAGTGGATAATATGGGTTTCTCAGAAGAAGTGATTTCGTTATTATGTATAGCGCAACTTATTTATAAATCAACTCAATATACGTATATATAAATTAATGTTATGTAATATTTTCAAAATATTTTCACGATCAATTTTAATTATTATTAAAAAACTATATTACATATATAAATATATATATATATATATATATATATATATATAAATAAATAAGTACTTATTATTTAAGTACTTATTATTTAATTTTTTTTAACCATAATATATGATGTTAATTATAATATCGCGCAATATTAATATTCAAAACTGATTTACATATACATTTTTTACATCTAATTAGTCCCGCAATTCTGTAGTCGTAGTTAGAATATTACGCAACTATATGTAGAAATAACAGTGATAGATGCAATAATATCTATAAAATGAATTTTGTACTTTTAGTAGTTATGAATCTATGGAATCACACACTTTTAAAGATCGTTTGACATATATTTCATTATTATTAATTAATTATTATATTTTATACATTATTAATCAATTTATTATTAATCAATGATTATATTTTATACATCCAAATTATCTCACGTGACTACAAAACGTGTTTCAGGCAGCCAAGATCTCTCAGATGCAGCAATGCCTCAGCTAGTATTTTGGATACTTTCTTTCCGCCAGTGTATTTCAGTTTTTTTGCACTTTCCAAAGGGCCCAAATCTATCATTTCTCGTACTAGTACTTCTGGGCTGAGATATCCTAATAATACCGGTAAAAAGACACACGTGAGAATGAAACCGAAGAGAGCACCCCTCCTAAAATCTTCCAATAAAGCGTTATATGAATATCTCTCAATATTCTGAATGCCAACGTCCAACAGATACTCCTTCAGCGCGTCATGATAGGCCCGCATGATCTCGAAAAATTTGTCTTTCCTCACTTCATTCGAACAATACATAAGGAGATATGTGGAAAGATCGACAACGGGCGTCGAGTACATGATAAGCGTGAAATCGATCAGCATCGTGCGATATTGCCCATCGTCTTCTGTCTTGAAGAGAATGTTGCCCAAGGTAAAATCGCCGTGACATAACGTGGCCAAAGGTTCAAGCGGTTGGACTGTCTTCATCATCACTTCATCGAACGAGTTCGAGAGTAAGGTTTCCATCTTATCGCAGAAAATCGCATCGCAACCCTGCAGACTGCGAAGATATTCCACCGCTCGTACCGAATGGATGTTGCTATAGGCCTCGTAGAGATTCTCCACCCTTTTTTCGTATCTAACTGTTTCAATTTGTCCCACGATGTCGAAGAACTTTTCCCGCTGCAGCTCTTTCATGGCGTACCCTTTGCCATGAAACCGTCCCAACTCGCGCATCGCCGCCAATGTGTATTCTAATGGGGGATCGTGCAAATACGGACAAGAAAAATATCCCCGTTCGTTGACATCCTCCAGGGCGATTACCGAATCGATGGGCGGTCGTTTCTCGGCGTACAAGCATCTCGCGTAGATTTCGTCCGGTCGGGTGTACATTTGATAGAACAGGATCTCGTTGTGAAATTGACGGTCGATTTTTGCAAGCTGGTTCAAGCCCAGCATGGGTCTCTTCAGGATCACAGACAATACCTCGTTCTGTCCGTTTGTCTTGTTCTCAAACTGCAGGCTTACACGATACAAGTTGGACATAATACAAATGCTGCCAAATTCGAATATCTCGTACCGAACTTTGTCGACGTCCAGTCCAAGATTCTCGATAATTCTCGGCATCACCTCGCCGATCCATCTTTGGAAATCTTCGACGTGAGACATTTTACTTGAATAAGAGTGCGTGTTCGAGTTCGAGTAAAATGAAATACACGCGAATTACCGTTCGAGGTGAGTTTATCTTTCCTCGACAATTTGAACGATACAAGTAATAGGGACCCTCCCGTAAAAACCATCATTATAGCTAATTTCGTTTTGCGTAAATTAGACATGCGAATTGTGAAGAGTGGGAGACCGACATTTGTATATCGCAATACTGGAAAAATAGTCAAACCCATCTTGTTGTTTGCATGAATACAAGGCTGAGTAACAGTATTGCTTTGCTATCAGCTGATGGCCGTGTCTGATAGTAAAATTGGCCTATTCAAAATACCGTACGTGCCATGGCAGAAAAAAGTTACGAATAAGTTAAGCTTTTGAAATCGAAATCGAAAATGTAGACGCTATATTATATACGCTATATCTTTAAAACTAGCGCAATAATTTCTCGAAATGTGAATTTTTACATTTTATCATATAAATTACATATCATAAATGACACGAAAAAATACATTAAAAATATACGTGAATTATTTTTATTTTAAGTATTTACTGGAATAAATACCAGCAATACATAACAAATATTCATGAGAAAGATATATATAAATGTATGCGACACAGTCGTTCTCCCTTCATCTGCATAAACAAGATCATCATCAAAAATTCAATCATTTAAGCATATTTTTATTTTATTTTTGCAAGTTTGTTGAAATAGTTTATCTGATTCCTAATTTTATACAAGCGCCACGTGTTTCCGTTTTACGTTCAAAAAATAAATAATTATTTTCTCATATTGTTTTTCTTTTTTTTTTCCAACATTTTTCATACATTCGTTCACCTAAAACAGCTGAGATATGAAAACTTCCTGCGAACATTTTTTCAAAGGAAAATTTTTCTGCACTGTCCACAAGGGAACTAATGAAGGTATTAGAACGTGGCGTATAAATAACGAATTGTACCAAACTGGTGAAATATAGATATGTAGAACAATCCGAATAAAAACACAAAACCAACATAAGCGGGCAAGTTCAAAAAACGAAGAAGAACAGGAATGACAAAGTAATCTTAATTAAACAGCAAACCGGTAGAAGAAAAAAAGTATATCTGCAGGTATACATAGACCGAAATTGGCAATGAGATGGGAAGATGAAATTAGAGAGGAAGAAGAAAGAAAATCGGAAAATGGCAACAAAAAAAAAGATAAGTGGTGAAGAAAGTCGAGAAAAACTATTAAGATCTGATTCGGGTTGTAACGTTCGTGACAATGATGATAACAGTTCTATAACTACAACAAATCGTTTATACAAATTTTATTTATGCATGCAATATCTATACATACCTGTATATCAGATTCGAATAATATTTTCTGCAATTTTCTTTGCAACAAATATTTATTTATTTATATGTCGGCCGCAAAAACGCAACAGCAGGCTAATAAAGCCGACTGCTATCGATCCATAAATTACAACACATCTGATAGAAAATTTCAAAATTTCCCCTCCCATTTCTTCCCCCGCGCGGGAAAAGCTTGACAAGTCCCTTCGCATCATACGCGACGCGACTGAATCCTAAGCAAGCCGTCTGCTAGCGCTCGCCTCACTGCGCATGTACCGGAATCTTCCGATATCGAAGAGAAGCCGCTACGCGGCCTGCGCGGCGCGCGCTGCGCTGTGAGTGTCGGTTGGTAAGTACACAGAGCGGTATGAGTTTGCGGAGCGGTGTTGTAAAGAGTCGCAGAATTTTACGAATATGGTCGGCCTACTGTTCCACGTGCTCTACTTGCTGGGCAAATGCATATACGACAGGTATCGCGTCAGAAGAACGACGATCTTGCCCGATATCGCGACCGAGGATGAACTGTTCGAGCAACGGGACGACACGCTCGACCCGTTCGGCGATGTTCCGGAATGGGAAGTCACGTCCTGGTGGACACACAAGACAATAAACAACTTCTGTCCACCGGCGTACGTACAGAGATACTGTGCGGTGACGGATGTCCTCGACGCATACAAAGGAAAGCTGAATAAGGTATTGACACTATATATTTTGTTGCAACAATAAGCCTGTTCTTTTTAGCTGAGCTTGCACGGTCCATCTTGCCACTCTTTCTTTTCACGTTGGAGAGATAAAAAGAAAAGATGAAACCGTGTTAGAAGTTCAACTGAAAAGAACAGGCCTAATGTAAATATACACATAGAGGTTCTTACAATAACACTATTTGTGAAGTCGTTATTGTAAGGAGAGATTACGAGACAGATCACTATACATCTCTAAATATCTTGATGTTTATTTTAGACCTATATCATTTGATAAACAAAATATAAAATTGTTAGTCTCGTGCATTAATTCCCATAGTTTTGTACATATAATTGTATTTTTAAATTGTTTCCACAGGTTGTTGACTTTGGATGCTCAGAGCTAGGTTTCCTGCTTTACTTGAAAGCTATACCAGAAGTTCAACAGATACTCTGCGTGGATGTGGACAGGGAAATTTTGGAGACATACCAAAGCAAAGCAGCGCCATTGATCACAGAAATGCTGTCCTGCCGAGAAAGGAAGCTTACGATAGAGATTTGTGAAGGCAGTGTAACACACAATGATGTAAAGTTGAAGAATGCAAATGCTGTAATTTGCATTGAATTGTACGTTCTTATATTGCATGAACATTACCATAAAAGCTATTCACTTATCTCTTATTTTAGAAAAATATTTTTTTAAATTCTAGGATTGAGCATCTATATCCAGATACACTATTGAATCTCCCTTTTAATATTTTTGGTTATATTAAGCCAGAAGTAGCAATAATAACAACCCCAAATGCGGAATTTAATGTAATATTTCCACGTTTGTCAGGCTACAGACATCCAGATCATAAGTTTGAATGGACCAGAAAACAATTTCAAGATTGGTGAGTTATGTTGTTATGTATAAAGCTTGAAAACTTACCCCAATTAATTTTTACCAATTTTATCATTAATTTACATTGTTAACAGGGCACAAAATATTGTGGTAAGGTATCCATATTATAGCGTGACATTTCACGGAATTTGTAATGGACCTGAAGGCACTGAAGAATTAGGTGCGTTGACGCAAATGGCAGTGTTTCATCGAATTTTGCCAAGAGATCAATCAATAATAGAAATTCTAACACCAGACGAATATGTTCAATTAAAAGGACAACAGGGATTATTTAAAACAGTAGCTGAATATAATTATCATATGGGATCTGACAGTCGTTCAGATGAGCAAAAAATATTAGATGACGCGATATATTATATACATTATTTATCCCATGACCCATATAATGAAGAATCACCCAGAAACTATGAAATATATTTAGACCGTATACTGTTCCTCATGACTAAGTATACCCTCTCGAGAGAAACACTGAGGTCGATTCTAACAGATGCAGGTTGGAGCGTTGTAGATCGAGAAAATGGGCCGGTAGTACTCAATCCTTCCCAGCCTTCTTCTGATGATGAAACGTTGGACGAGTATTATGTGGAGAGCGAGAATGACGAACAGACCGACGAATATGAAGATTCAAGCACCGAGGAACCTCATATTACAAATCAGGGAAACGTATGGGATTATGTAACTGGATCAGCCATAAATGAAATGCCTGCAGATGCAAATGAAGAATATTTACCTCAACAAAATCCACATAATGAAAGTTTGCATGAAGAATTTAATGCTACAAATGAGATACCAGATGCAAATGAATATTTATCTGAACAAAATCCACGTATTCATATTTGGCATGAAGAATCCAATTTTACAGATGAAGAAAGATGGAACTATAGGACTAATCCACGTATAAATGATATATCCGCGGATGAAAATGAAGAGCATTTATCTGAACGAATTCAGCATCCTGATAGTTGGCATAACAGTCCCGATTTTACAGATGAGGAGGACAGGTGGGATTATCAAGGTGGCCTACTTACAAATGAGATACGTGTGAATGCGAATGAAGAATATTCGTCTGCGCAAAATCCTCATATCGAAAATTGGCACGAGGAACCCAGCATTATCATACCTGAAAATTATTCTATTAACCAAGAGAACACTTATTTGTTTGATGGCGAAAATTCTTTGGTAGAAGAAACTCAACCGGTAGAAGAACCATGTGCAACTTACGACGATATCAAACGTTCAGAAGTTAGAAATACTGCAGAATCTTTAGTATATACTGAACGAGAACTTCCAAGTGACTCAATTCCTTTAACTTTAAATGAGGTAGAAGAATTAGAAGAAGCTCGAGTAACTGCTTCTGCTATGTCAGCAGAGTTCATCAGTTTGCAATTAGAAAATTTAATTGACAGTATTATAATAGAACCAACTGTATTACAAAATGACCAGATAAATCTAAGAACTGCACAAGAAATTGATTCAATGTTAAACTTTCAGTCGCATATGCCCGTTTCGCGTTCATCGACTTCGCCAGCGTCGCTTTGCTTCGGTTCTGAAATGGACAACTCTTTACAAGATTTCAGTGGATATGATCAAAACCAATCGTTAATCAACAACCAATGTTTATTAAACAGTACTTTTTGTCAATCTGAAATAGATGAAGCAGCTGTGAGTACAGAAGACTCTACTGTAGAAGATATATTTTGTTTTGAGGAGAGTCTTTCAAAGAAAGATACACAAGGAAGCGAACTAAACTTTTCATCACATACACCTTCAAATTATTATAATTATGATGTTGAACAAGGGAGAGACATTTCAGATAAAAATCAAATTTGTGAAGACAGTGATCTGGCAGATGTGATGTCATCAGATGCTTGTAGTAGTAATTTTAATAATCAACCAAAATACACAAGTTCACCTCGTACAAAAATATCCGCTACTGGCATTGTTAGTAAAAGTTACAAACACAAAAAACTAATGTCTGCAATGAATAGTAATGTTTTATTGGGCACAATAGAAAAAATTGAGGAAGCTATATCGGATAGTACTAATAGTAGTTTATTGGAATCTAGTCAGAAATCTAATAATAGTATCGCAGAAACAATTAACGTAACTTCTTCAAGCAGTGATATAATGAGTACTTCAAAATACGACATAGACTTTTCTGCTAGTAATAGCACACAACAAAAATTGTGTTTAGAAAATAAGAAATTTAGTGGTGTTGATAGCTCTATCTCCACAGAATTAACGCTAGATACTAATCACGAAATCGCGGAAAATGACATAATCAATCATGAGTCTGATGTTGTGGATGATATACAAAATATAGATGCACATCATGTCTTATCACTAGGCAATGAGAATGTTAATCACAAAGACGAAAGTGTATATTGTACATTAGCAAAAACAGATCATACTGATGCAAAAGCACACTTAGAAAATGTGACTAGTGATCCTGCAGAGTCAAGTATGAGGAAAAAGGGTTTAAATCCGCCTAGAGAATTAGTAAGTTCCAATTCCAAGTCACATAGTGTTAGCAAATGCTCTTCATCTGATTGTGCCAAAGAAACTAGCGTTTTAAGAAACGATAGGTTTTTACCTTGTAAAAGTAGTGAGGAGAATACAAGTAATGTTCACTTCACATCACTGAAAAGTGAAGAGATTGTTGGTATAAGTAAAGCTGCATCAAATATTGCTGGATTAGCGAATAATGTTGAAGCTAAACCATCTTCTCCGCTTGAGACACCTCCGAACAGTTGGTCTCCCGAAATCATGGATTCCGGCTATCCAAATTCAGCTTCCGCGCAAGATATAACACCGGAATATGATTTATCTAGCATAGCGCAGGATCAGATACCAGATTCTGAATCGCCGAGCGTTGCGGAAGCGCCGAGACTCGGTGTCTTGGAACCGATTGAGGTGGAAAATGGCGATCTGGCAAATAACAATAGAGACGACGAAGGTAACAATATGATGGCTGTGGATGCTAACGATATCGAAAACTTACAACCGCTGATTGATGTATTGGAGAATGATCTCGAGAATGAAAACGATATTTACGTAATGCAGAACGGTTTTCCCATATGGTTACTAAGAATATTGGATATGGCAAATCCGCTTGATTTTGACATGCAAGCTCGACAAAATCTGCGAATTCCTGACGAAGTTGCAGGTAACTGTACCTCTATATCTCTAGACTTATCCGCATAATATTTTAAAGATAATATATTTATAATATTTATATTTCTAGATGATGCTAACTATGTCGTTCACGATGAAGGTTTTGATAGTTCTTCAGAGAGTGAGAGTGATATAGCTTACAATGAAATGGAAAATGATAATGGACATGGTAAATAAAGATTTTTTTTAATGAGAGAGAGAGAGAGAGAGAGAGAGAGAGAATGAGGAGATAAAACATGAGCGTGATATGATTGCAGCATTACAGTATTATCTTACATATCATTCTTCTTGCTCCTAACAAAGTTTGTAGTGTAGGCTTGAAAAGTAATGATCTTGAGAAATATTATTGTTTGCATTTTAGACATGAAATATTGTATCTTAAAATACTTAAAATACTTTAGGTTTTTTATTTATTTATTTAAATCATATGGATAAATAACTACCTCTTTCTATATATTTTTTACATAAATATGATTGAAATGAATGTGTGTGAAATATTATTAAATATTTCAAGCCTATGCAATGTTATATGTAAAATAAGACGTCTAGATAAATAAATAGATAAAAATTAAGTTATTAAGTATGATATAATATTAACTTTAATTTTATGTATTGAATGTATAATTTATGATATTTCCATTTTCTATCTCTCGTTTCAATGACTGCAAAAATTTTTCAAATTCCAGTTTTGTACCATAAAAGTATATTGAAATTAATGAATGGCTTTCTACATTTATTTTAAATATGAAATATTCTTGTTATTCAAAGGTTGTGTTCCGATATTTACTGTCAATGCTGAAGAAGTATAGTGTATGTGACGTAAATTAGAGATTTTCAGTACTGACAGTGAATATCGGAACGCAACCAAATTATCATGATATTAATCTTAACATTTTATACATATATACATATACATACATGTATACATACATACATGTATGTACATGGAGGGGTAAAAGCCGTAGTGTACAAGTCAAATTTTTTTTAAATATTAACATGTCTTTTTTTAGATAGGATTAACTCGTGTGCATAGATCTATACAATATACAGGGTGTCCCCAAATTAAATGTCAAAACTTCGAGTGTGTAAAGGATCGATAAACTAAGAAAAAAAATCCTTTAGAAATTTGCTTATTTTTGCTTCGTTTTGGAGAACATCGCAAGAAAACAATTTTTATTTTTTACAATTTGTATATTGTATAGATTGCATCTATGCACACGAATCAATATTTTTAAAAATTTTACTTACACTACTATGGTTTTTATCCCTCCACATGTGTATATATAATATATAATCATTATACTTGTATATATTTCATACATACATTCACATATCGACTTACATATGTAGTTGCATATATTTTCTTACAATTTTATGATTTGTTCATTAATTGTTAGCTATTTTCAATATCGTATTTTAGCTCTCTTAATGTGATTTATGAAAATTTATCAATATGTTAAGTTTTGATAGAGCGTAACGTATCATCTATGTGATATCTGGTAGATAAATAGCAAACGTGATAATGTTAAATTAATTTTTGTAATTCTTTGATAATTTCGTTGAAACTACCTATCTAAGACTGAAACTACACAGTTAAGTTCGCAGTGATGCAAAAACTTTGGACAAATAAAATCAATATAAAATTTGAACAGATGTAATATTCTCAATATATTTTATCCTAATACAGATAAACATGTACACATTATATGGCATAAAAGTTATGAGCTTCTTAATATTAAATATTTTACATGGAAACGTGATATCTTTCTTTATTTCGGTGGAATGAAATTACAGGGTATACAATGTTTTATACGTAGTTAGCCTAAGACTTTACTTGATTCTGTTAGTTAGACAATTTCGACTGTTGGTTTTAGTATTTACAGAAATAAAGTCTTCCATTTTCCAATACAAGCGGTTATTCGCTAGAGCATAAGTCAAACGTGACCATAAACTTTGCTTGAAATCGTGTACATATTACTCTTTAATAATTTTAATAAATTAAATTTAATAAAGAAATGAAATAAAAAACATGTATCGATTCTTTCAATAAATTTCATCATCACAACTTAATAGCACAAGTATGCTTGTAACTTCATACATGGAGAGGTAAAAACCACAGTAATGTGTCAAATTTTTTTAAATGTTTGACTTACATCACTGTGGTTTTTACCCCTCCATATATATAATATATGTAATTGTGATATACATATATATATATATATATATATATATATTCAGTTTTAATGTTTTTCGCATAATGGTTGTGATCTTTTAATTCTTTCTTTTAAATCTATATAAATAAATATAGCATACATATATAAGTAAATGTCACGACTTACGAAGCTAAGTTTGATAGTCAAGAATGTGCTACAAGTATATAGCAAATTTATTGTTGAAACACTTATAATACTAGACAAAATTACACATCAATGGAATTGCATTTTTAAGTAGTGCCTTAATACCATAATCTATGGCTTTTTAGTAACGTTTGTCTTACTACAAATTTTATCAAAACAAAGTGCAAATTGTGTAACTAAACGGGATTAGGTATAAATATCTCCTTACACCTACCGTGTAATTTACACAATCTATTCTGCTATATTTTTATGATTAATGTCTCATGGTGTAAAAGGAAATTAAAATATACAGTTCGCGTGTTTATCAGTGACAAAAGTACATATAAAACTAAGATAGTGAAAGCTTTTGATATCAAACCTAACGCTATATGTGAGTTAGTAGAATTATTGGAATATTGTGTCAGTAGAATTGTCAAAACTATACATACGTATATAATTATCAATTACGCCAGTTGAGTTGAAATTATTGCAGAGTAGCGGACTTAATAATAAAGACACGTGGAAGAAAACGCATTCACACTATTTTGGAATGTTACGTTAGTCCAGATAAAATTAGATAATAGAAAATCAATCAATAGAAAAGTAAACGAAAATTATGAGTATAATTGCCTCTTTTACAATGTAAATTCTGATTTCTCCGTAATCGCGCGTTTGTCCAGCAGAATTGTCATGACTATTGTTACTCGAAAATTACTGTATGTACAGATAGAAGTCTCTATAGCATTTTCTCCCTTTCATACTTAGACTAGTTTCATACAAAACGCGGCATATGTACTTACTTTTATTTCCTATTATTGTAAATAATTTATCGTATTTGCGAACGTAACAATCTATTTTTCGATAGATTGTTTATCGTTAGTAACCCGCGTGGTATTACGTAAATTTTTATATCAAGCACAGCATTGCGTTTACGCTGCGTATATATTGTATACGCCGAATGAAAGGAAGAAAAAGAAATTAACATAAAAAATAGCGTTAACATAAGCGTTTATACTTGTGGTGTCGAAAAAAAAAAAAAAGAAATCACAGAAACGAATCTAGTTTTAACAAATGTAACAGGATCATAACGAAGATTTTCAATGTAATATCAGCTGTCATGTAAATAAGGCTGCCTGATGCCCAAAAGCACTTAATGTGCGATACGAATGGGGAGTGTGACGAAGAATACATCGAGTTAACAGATCAAATCGTACATTATATGTAACTACGAACATATATCATGTTTACACATTCGTGCCCGGCACATGACTCCGAGATGTACGTATTCTCCTCCTCCTAATGGCATTCTGCCTGCACAGCGAAAACATGAAAATAATATATGATAGAATATCGAATATTGGGATTTCATTAATATGTACGCACAGAAAGGGCATTAAAGTCATATCACAAAAATAAGCTGCAACAGATTGTATAAAGCAGTGTCACCACTTAGTCACATGGATATAAAAAGTTCTTATCTTTACTTTAAAAAATATTTGTGAAGTATTTTACTTGTCACACACAAGGGAATATCTCCGTCGAATATTTTTTAAAGCAGAGATAAGAACCTTTTATATCTACACAACTATGTAGCATCTACTATATATAATATGTTGCATCCTACTTCTGTATTCATTTCATTACAAAAGATGTGCTATTTTTTTTATAGTAAGTATTGTGTTTCGTACTTACTGCATCACACAACTTCCTTGAGACTGTCCCGCGTTTCACGGCTACGAGAATGTATCAGATGGTGCAGATCGCCCCCAGGTGCGCTGTCGCGTCTCAGATCTCTCAGCGCGGTTGGAGTCATCGCTTCCCTCTTGTTCGCCGCTTCCTTTATGCTAGACAAGGTTTTGCTGAGCCACGGCCAACTGTTCCGCGCGGCTTGCAGCTCAGAAGCGGTGGCATGCAACTGATGCGTCAGATCCTGCCAAACGATTCGCGTTACATTCTGTACTTCGATCTTCAGACGGTCAGCTATGCAAAATGTGTCCCTGTTGCTCACCTGATTCCGGCACTCGGCCTCGACGTGTGCCAATTTCGTCTGCGCCAACTCTAATTCCAATTCGCGCACCCTTTCCTGCACCCTGTGAAGCATGGGATCTATTCGGTTCTCCAAAGGATGTGCGATATCCGCCAGTATGTTCGACGAATCCATTATACACGTCCTACATTTCTCGCATTTTGAAACCTTCGCCTGAAACATATCGTTATCGGAGTCCGTGCTCGATAAAGAGTGTAAACGCTAGCGAAATTAAACCTGAGATAACACACCCGTAGCTCGCTCAACGTTGTCTTCGCAGCATTGTAATCGTCCTCCAAACGTTGACAGATCTGCAAACGTGTAAATATTCTTGCAGCTATCTATAATATTTGGAACTGAACCATCTACAATGTATAATATCTTGTAAATACCTGTTTGTATTCGGCTATAATGACATTGCTTCTGCGGCTTTCAGCGTCTGCTCGAGCTACCTCACGCTGTAGCATCTCCTTAATCTGCAGGAGTTCTGCCTCCAATCTTTGCTTCTCTTCTTCATTTCTGGCCACTGTACCGCGTAGTTGCTCCACCTCGTTGCTGTATTCGTCAGCATTTTCCTGTGCTTCTGTAACACGAGAAGCAAACAATTCTTATTTAAGCAAATTTAAGAGTTTATTGTGCAGATTATATTTATTACGTTGTGTCGGGACTTTTTTAAATGTTTAATCTCTCTCTCTCTCTCTCTCTCTTGAAAAATTATAAATTTATAATCACAAATTCCTAAAATCCCTAAAATTCACAATTTCATAATAGTATGCAATGTAGTCATTACAAAAGATATTTTTTAATTCACTTTTATTTTGTTGTATAAATCATATTTTTTTGCTATAAGAATTTTATATATTATTATTTTGTTAGACGTGCTTGAATGTCCCGCGTATATCATAAAAGTATTATTAAAATAATAAACTATGTGTATTTCCTCCAAAAATTTAATAACAGTTGCAACAAAAAGTAATTTCTGAGCATTGCACACTTA